TCTGAAAAACTGTGCCCTACAGCAAATGAGCTGAATTTATGAGAATCTGGAATATTTATATCAGTGGGTTCTTTTCACTGCCTGAAGAGGAGGCCATCCAGCTCCCTCCAAGGGACTATCTCCTTGGATAGTCCCCAGAAGTCAAAATCTATTCCCCTCCCTAATTTTTCAATCCACCTTTAAAACATCAGACTGAGTGATATTAATTCTAGGGGTGACCTGGGGTGGTATGGTGGCTCAGTGGTTAGCACTTCTGCCTCATAGCACCAGGGACCTGGTTTTTAATCCACCCTCAGGTGGTGACTGTCTCTGGAGTTTGCACATTCTCCCCATATCTGCATGGGTTTCCTCCACCTGCTTTGGTTTCCTCACACAGTCCAAAGATGTGTGGATTGGCCATGCTAAATTGCCCATAGTGTTCAGGGACGTGTGGGCTAGGCAGATTAGTCATGGGAAAAGAAGGTTTACAGGGATAGGGTGAGGGGGTGGGTCTGGGTGGAATGCTGTTTAGAGACTCAGTGTGGACTTGATGGGCCTGCTTCCACACTAGTAGGGATTCTTTGATTCAAAGCTGTCATTCTTTTGGTGCTTTTCTCAGGGCATGCTTTTGATTTCTGATTGTTTTAGAATGCTTTTATATCCCATTGTTTCCAGTTTGAATGTGCTAATGTTCTAATAGGAGGGATCAATGTAGCTTTCAGGTTATGCCATATCAGGGAATTCTTGTGTAACTAACTACACGGTGATTTGGTGTAGTGCCCTGGTTGTACTATTTTAGGAAATTCCAGGCTATAAGATAGTAAAGCAAAAAGGGAACATTAACTCATTTATTCACCGTATTGCATTGGAGCATTTACTTGTTGGTGAGAACCTGTTTGTCTCCTTTTTGAAGCTTCATAGACTACCTCTCCTGCCTCCATCTGTCACACATTGATATCACCTTTCACCAAAAGTTCTTCCTGCATTTCCATTTTCTTCTCATATTCTACATTTTTAAATATAACCACTTGTGCATAAACTCTGTCCGTGGCAGAAAATTTTGGATTCAATTTGTCCAAAATTTAAAATAATTTAATCTTAAAGTCAAGACGAACAAAACTGATGCTCTCGAGTTAGATTACCTTTGGCCTTTGAATTAACGTGCCCAACAGATTGTTTGTACACTGAAGAAATTGTTGTTGACTCTAATTGTTTCTGTTTGGATTGCAGTCAGTTTGGGTGAAAGCCCTTGCAATCAGTTGGAGTTTAACCTACATATTCTAAGCTGAGGTACATCTGCAGTGAATCAAAACGAGATGACATTGCTGATCACAAAAGATAAACCTGAATATTCTTTTAATGAACGAGAATGATGCTGCTGGTTTGGAGGATTTGAGCTGTAGGGAGAGGCTGAATAGGCTGGGACTATTTTCGTGGAGTTTCAGATGCTGAGGGATGACCTTATAGAGGTTTATAAAATCATTAGGGGCATGGATAGAGTAAATAGACAAGGTCTTTTCCCTGGACTGGGGGAGCCCAAAACTAGAGGCCATAGGCTTCAGGTGAGAGGAGAAAGATTTAAAAGGGATCTAAGGGGCAACTTTTTCACGCAGAGGGTTGTGCGTGTATGGAACGAGCTGCTACAGGAAGTCGTGGAAACTGGTGCAATTACAACATTTAAAAGGCATCTGGATGGGTACATGAATAGTAAGGGTTTAGAGGGATATTGGCCAAATGCTGGCAATTGAGACTAGATTAAGATATCTGGTCAGCGTGGACAGGTTGGACTGAAGGGCCTGTTTCCATGCTGTATAGCTCTATGACTCTATAAATATAGACATTTTGCACTTCACAACGTTCTAACAGAGAGAGCAATATATTAATTTTGGTGGATCATACAAATCTATGGCAGAGGGTTGTGGGACTTGCACACATAAGCCATGCAGACACTCCATGCAGTGCTGAGCGAGTGCTGCATTGTGTGGTCTGTCTTCAAAGTGAGATATTAAGCATAGATTCCATCTGATGGCTTAGGATGTCAAATGATTTTTAAAAACTGATATAGGTACAAATGACTATGAAATTGTCAGATTGCCAACGAAACCCAACTGTTATCAGTGAAGGAAACCCACAATCTTTACCCTATCAGGGCCTATATGTAACTTCAGTTCTAAACCACTATTGTTAACCTGTAACTAGCCTCTAAAATAGCCATGCAAGACACTAGTTGCATCAAGCCACTCTCTGTGGTGCCAACAAAATGGGATTTGAGATGCTAGGCTCTGGTAAATTTTGATTAACAGCACCATCTTCACGGGACATCTTTCTTCATTCTCACTGTGTTAACCCTATGGAACTCTATCCTGAAAAGCATAAGGACTGCAACTGTGCAAGAAGGTGGCTTATTCCTGCTTCAATAATTAGCAGTGGTCAATGAAACTGGATCCCAAGAACTAATTAAAAAAAATGTAGGGGCAGCTTATAAATGCTATTTTTTTTCAGTAATGCCCATAACCCACAAAAAATTAACAAAATGTATGTTTCCCCTTCACTGCAGAGTATAGTTGAATTCAAGAGTAGAATCAGTTGGTAAGCATTACATTTAGAAAGCAGAATGACTCAGCTTGTCAATTCATTTGAAGATGGAAGGTTTATTTTTCAGCAAATTCTTTTTGAGAAATTTATGTGACAGGAAATACAAAGTTTAGACCAGAACTTATCTGGACAGACTCAGTATTATTTGTTCTTGGATAAATTCTTAATCTGTTGAATCACGTGGTCTAATGCATTATTAGGGGAAATGATGCATACTTAGCATCAATTGTGCCAACACTGAATGTATAGAGGGATTATATACTGTTCACCCAAGAGCAGCCAGTTCTTCCAAAAAGTACTGATCCTGCCTGTGAAATGGGCCACAAGAATTGGCAGTTAACATCATCTTTGCTTCACCCATGGCACTTCTGCCACAAGTACAGGTGACTCACTAGAGTGAAAGGTGAAGCATGTTACATTGATTCAGACTGTGCTGAGTTAATATGCTACATGGTATACTATTTCGGACTGTGCAGGGTTCGTATACTGTGGGGTACACCGATATAGGCTGTGCCAGGTTGGTATACTGGAAGTACACTGATTTAGACTGCTGGTTGGTATACCACGTGGTACACTGACTCAGACTGTGTGCTGGATTAGCACTGTTCATTGTACACTGATTTAGACTGCTGGGTGCAGTATATGTTACATGGTATCCTGATTCAGACTGTTACTTAATAACATAAATCTCAATGTGTTATTTTTGACTCACAGGTGAAAAACAAGCAATGGGGAAACTTGTTCAGGTTTTATACTGTACACAAAAAGCAGGACACATCTTATCCAATCAATTAATGCCGTCGCTGTCAACTCGTGATCATGAGCAAAAAGATGAAAAATGCCATCATTAGTGCTATCAAGTAATAACCTGCTCACTGATGCTCAGTTAGGTTTCATCAGGGCCACTCAGAGCCTGACTTCATTACAGCCTTGGTACAAATATGGGTTAAAAAGCTGAACTCCAGAGGTGAAGTGAGGACAACTGCCTTTGACATCAAGGCAGCTTTTGGCTGAGTATGGCATCAAAGAACCATATCAAAACTGGAGTCAATGGGAATTGGGGCAGAACTCTGTACTGATTGGAGTCATACCTGCCACATAGGAAGATGGTTGTTGTTGTTGGAGATCAGCCATCTTAACTCCTGAATGTCTGCAGCAGTTGCTCAGGGTAGCGTCCTAGGTCTCCCCATCTTCAGCTGCTTCATCAATGACTTTTCCACCATTAGAATTGGGGATATTCGCTGATGATTACACAATGTTCAGCATCGTTCACAACTCCTCAGATACTGAAGCAGTCTGTCCATATTCAGGAAGACCTAGTCAATATCCAGGTTTGGGGTGATAAGTGGCAAGCAATATTTGTGCCACTCAAATGCCAGGCAATGATCATTTCCAATAAGAGCGAATTTGACCAGCGACCTTTAACATTCAATAGCATCAGCATCACTGAATTCCCCACTGCTGACATCCTTCAGGTAACCATTGACCAGAAACTGAACTGGAATAGCCATATAAATATTGCGACTACAAGAACAGGTCAAAGTCCTGACACCACAAAGCCTAGCCATCATTTACAAGGCCCAAGTTAGGAGTGTGATGGAATACTTTCCATTTGTCTGGCTGGGTGGAGCTCTAACAACAGTTAAGAAACTTAGAAGTTTATAAAATAATAAGGAATATAGATAGAGTTAACCGTAGGTGTTTTTCCCCAAATATGGGGATTTTCAAGACAGGGAGCACATTTTTAAGGTGAGAGAAGGGAGATTTAAAAACAACATGAGGGGCAAAATTTTTACACAGAGGGTGGTTCGTGTGTGGAATGAACTTCCTTTTAAATTACAACATTTAAAAGACATTTGGATAAGTACATGAATAGGAAAGGTAGGCAGGTAGGACTAATTTAGTTTGGGATTATGTTTAGCATGGAAGAGACTGTTTCCGTAATGTGGGACTCTGGACCATCTAAGACACAGCAGCCCATTTGATTGGCGCCGGATCCACCACTATTACCACCCAGAAGGTCAAAGGTGGCAGATGCATGGGAACTCCACCCCCTGCAAGTTTCTTTCCTACCACGTGGCATCCTGACTATATCACCATTCCTTCGCTATTGCAGGGTCAAAATCCTGGAACTCCATTCCTAACAGCACCGTCTGCTCCCACACCCAACACACTGCAGCACCTCAAGGAGGCAGCTTAGCAGTACCTTCTCAAGACGATTAGAAATGAGTAATAAAGGCTAGTCCAGCCAGTGATGCCCATATCCCATGGAGAAATTTTAAAAATCAGATCACATTACACTGTATTCAGCTGCTTGAGCACATTCCAAGATTAATTTAGATCAGAATTGATCTGTGCTTTAACTCCACTTCCTCACTTTGACTCTCTATCACATTATATCCTTGTGTAACAAAAATCTATCACACTTGCATTTTAAAAATTTTCCATTTATTTACCTCACCGCCCAATCTCAAAAGATTTTCATCAACTTCTGTGAAAAACTGCTCCTTGACATCACCCCCTGAAGGGCTTAGCTCTAATTTTGTGGTCATAAACCTTCCCTGTTGTTCGGGATTAGTTTGAGGCAAATCATCTTCACTTCCCACCACCACCCCCCCGCCCCATCAAAAGACACGATCTGGGTTACAATCCCACAAGTGGATAGAGGAGAAAGATGGATTCAATCTTTCACTCTTCACAACCGAGGGCTACTTTCTCCATCAGAAATCATGTTTTCCCATTGGGGTTGAGGTTTGAGGTTGGGGTCCCTGAAGGCTCTGTTAGATCACCCAGCAAAAAATGGTCAGCTTTGGCGAGCACCTTTGCTGGAGGGAGGGTGCAATTGCACCTGACCAATTTTCATGGACAACTTTTGTTATATGAGAAAAATTACAGTTATAATAGTAAAGGTTCCAAGGTAGTGCGCACTGATGTGATTTTTAAGATATTATCAATGTATACAATTTTGAGAATACCTTCATAACATGATTACTTTCTAAGTGGGGGTTATTTATTTATTTATTTATTTATTTATAAATTGTTATGTCCTGTTCTGATTCAAAACTAAAACCAATAGTGGAAAGTACTCTTAAAAGAAGGCCACTCAGCTCATCAATTTTGTGCTGCTGTTGCTTCTATCCCTTTTGCAGGAATGTCTACTCCATTCCTATTTTCTCCTAGTACTGCCCTTTCCCAGAAATGTTTAACTAAAATTGGTAAATCTTCCTTTGAGCATTCATAAAAATATTTTAAATTCTGGTTTTCAGTGAAGTTTCTTTACTCTGCCAAGAAGCAGTAGATCATTCAATATTTCACCAAAGACTCGGAAAAAGAAAGGTTTATCTATCCGAATCTCCGTTGTGATGGTTGTGTTACTGAATGGAACATGTCCTGGAGGGGTTGACTTCTCTCCATCTTCCATCACTTCAAAAATAACATGTTGAATTACCTAAAAAAAAAGCAGGAATTTTAGTGAAGGAAGCTTAAAGGTAACTAAGGCATGGATGAGTGTTTTTGCAACCGATGAGTTGAGACAGGGCAAAGTTATAGAGATGTCTTGATAATGGGAGATAACATGAGGTCAGAAGCTTATTTCAGGGTCAGGTTAAACCCTGATGATGAAAACAGACTTGTTCAGCCCGAGTTTAGTGGCTGGAGAGGGGTTTAGTTTACCAGGTTATAGGCCAGAATTAGCTTGCCATGTCAGAAGTGACTTCATGCTTGAATCACTATCAGAAACACTAATAAGAGTGCCATTTGGTTACCTGTTAGTCAAACTGCTCCCTTACCTGGTCTGGTGTTAGATTTTGGTCATTATGTAATCTGGAGAAATTAGCTCGACCGCTCAACATATCTGGCAGGTTCATCCTGTGGTAAAGTTCCTTCACATCATATGTACTGTTCCATTTGAACCGTGGCAAGACAAGCTTTACAATCCTGTGGGATGATTGCAAGAAGAAAAGAGTATATCATCCCCATTGCCAAAACAAAAAGACAGCATTTTCAGAGAAACTTTCTGGAGGTGATTTTGGACATGGTTCAGGACGTAAAATAGTGTCTTGTTGGATGTTCTTTATAAGCCTGCTTGATATCAAATTCTACCAACTTCATTAGAATGAAAGATCAGGCCTTTCCTAACACAGGCTGCAAATTTCTGTCTCCATGGATGCTGTCTGACCCACTGTGATCTCCAACATTTGTTGTTTTCGGTGCAGATTCCAGCATCTGGAGTGATTTGCTCCGAGACTTCAAGTTTATTGCACTCTGCCCACCATGTCCAATTTCCTCTCTATTTTGTTACAGGAGTTGTCTTTTGTAACTATTTTTAAATAAATGTTAAAATGTTTTGGCAGAAAGATAAAAAGCCATATATTCTTTAGAAAATAACAATGGAAAGAGAATAGAGACTCAAATTTGATCTTGGGTACACATACTCACAGCATGAGAAGTAGCAATACAGTTAATTAAGGCAAAATGTAAATCAAATAATAGGAGTCATTTCTGGAAGCACAGAATTGAAAAGCAAACGTTGTATTAAATTTCTACCTTGGCAGAATGTTACTTAAAGTGTTATGAATAGTCTGCCTTAATATTAAAAAGGCTATTGATGCAAATTAGAAGGTATATTAAAAAATCATTATATGCATAGCAACCAGGAGGTTGTAGCTATCGGGCTAGATTGAACAGACTAGGACTCTGTACAGGATTGTTGGAACAAGAGATGGCTATTTAGCCCCTTGAACCTGTTTCAGATTCAATTATATTGTAGCTGGCCTGTGACCAAACTGCCTTTTTTCTAATCCCTTAGTACCACTGGCTAACAAATAAATTCATAAACCTCAATCTTAAAGTTGACAATTGATATTGCATCTTGTGTCATTTGTGGAATAGAATTCCAAATTTCTACCACCTTTTGACAGCAGAAATGTTTCCGAACATCACTTCTGGAAGTTCTGTCTCTGATCCCAACCTAATTATCTGCTCCCTTTTAACATCTTGAAACAACTATTCCAGGTTGTCCCAATTGAGTTTTTATAACGTACAACTCTTGGAATGCAGATATAAATCTTGTAAATGTATACTGCAACTCAAGGTCAGTACATTCTTCCTTAAGATGTGTTGTCCAAAACTAATTACAGAACTGGTGTGGTCTAACCAGATCTCTTATGTAGCCGAAGTACGATTTCTATCCCCTTGTCCTTTTGTCCTCTAGATATAAAGGCAAACATTCCAATAGCCTTTTTGTTTATTTTCTGTATCAGTTCTTCACACTTCATTGATGTGTACCCGGAACCCCATGTTTTTTTGGACCTCTGCTCTTTCTAGATTTTCATTATTTACAGAGTGTCCTGTTCTTTTCTTTTTAGGTCCCAAGTGGGTGACTTAACATTTACCTACATTGAAATCAATTTGCTTTAGTTTTAGAGATGCAAGTCCAAAGCTTCTGGAATCTTCAATCATTGTTGGATGGTCACTCTCGCTCTTATTTTTCTATCCTGACAGGGATCCACATTTTTGGTTTGGTCTTGTGATGCCAGTCACTTCAGAGTAAAGCTCTGAAATTGAGTTTTTCATCATAGTGCTGGATCGTCAAAGGACGAAAGACAGGCCCACTTATTTTTAATGTATTTTGGTAATTCATTCTCAAACATGCCGAATAGCTCAATAGCTTTTCAGTGCGTTCATGAATGTGTGTGAATGAGGTAAGAGGGTAGGGAATGAGGCAAATTGGTAAAGATTAGGGTGGATGATGATGTAAGTGGGTAGGAGGTGGATTGTGAACTAAATGGGTAAAGGGTATCTGGTGGTTGACTAACGTGAGTAAAGGTGTGTGGTGGTTGAGGTATATGCATAAGGGAGTAGGGTGCAGGTGGGTAGGATAGATTGGCAGGGTCATAAATGGGAAGAATGGAAGCTGAATAGGTGGTCAGGAGATAGTCTTGTTAGATCAGAAGGGATTGTCATGTTGGGGGCCTGTCAGGTCAGCTTGGGGACAGTCAGGTGTTGTGATTGAAGTCGGGAAGATTGGGGTAATATCTTAGGTCGGGTTTGGGGGGGGTGTTCGTCAGGGGGTGTTTGGTTTGGGGTTTTGTGGAATGGGGTCAGTTATATAGTTACCCAGGAGTTAGACATGGTCTTAATATGTCAAACATTTCCTCGGAAACAATCCAGATAAGTGAGTTTGAAATGTTTGAACTTTTTTGAAGGTCTGAAGGAAAAGGGACATCAGAAGGAACATCAGAATTTCAACCTCCCAGGCAGTTTCTGACAGTCAGTGCATCAGAACCTCAGTGAGGTCTTAATGCAAAAGTGTGATTATACACCATGTCTCCAACTGTTCAGAGAACTGGGTCATAGAGTCATTTAAGACATAGAAGGAGCTCATGCAGCGTGTCAATTCCATAACCAGATCTGCATGGACCAATCTTTTTATCTCATTCCCATAAACCAGCAAACCTATATCCATCCAATTTCCTTTTGAATTCATTGATTGTGTCTGCTTCTACCACCCTCATGGGCAGTGAGCTCCAAGTTGTCTATTCACTTAATTTATTAACATCTCTTTGTAAATATGCTTTCGGTGACACTACTTACAATTACAGCCTATCTTGGTCCTTTACTAAATTTGTAAATGTGGCTTTTTATCACATCATCTAAGTTGTAAATGATTACAGTGAATAGTTGAGACCCAACTGAGATTCCTGTGGAACTCCTCTAGTCTCATCCTGCCAATTGTAGTACCTGTCCATTATCCCTACTGTCTGTCTCCTGACATTCAGCTAATTTCCTGACTAATTTGGTTTCAGTCCCATGAGCTTCAGCATGAGAAAACCAACTCTCACGAGAAACTTTATCAAAAGTCTTCTGAATGTCCACATAACCAACATGCTTAGACATTCTCCAACAAAGAGGCAAATTGCAGAGATAAATACCAAGCTAGAAAAGCACAAATGGGAGAAAGGAACAGGAGGATGTGCTGATAGGATGAGGTGAATAAGATGTAAAGCATAACACCGGTGTAGACTGTTTGAGTGAATAGCCCTATCTCTGTTCTATAGATTCAATGTGTCAAAATAATTAAGTAACTACTTCTATAATTACCCAGATTTAAGTATAATCGAGTTAACGTCTAGGGTGGATTCAATGCTCTCCAGCGTATCTGGTTTTACTGGCTGGACAAGCATGATGTATGCTGTTCCAATCAATGGGAGTTTAATCATCGTGTATGTAGGATCAATCTTATACTGCAACTTGCCACACCAGGTTGTCATAGGCACTTGGACTTTACTACTCCCATCATTGTAGAAGTCTTGAAATTCTGATCCATGACACTGCGATCTGGTCTTCCATTTTCCTGAGAAGTAAAGGTAATGTTTGCACAGGTTGTGAAAGAAACACTGTATCAACACCATCATTTATCTGGCTTTCCCACAAAATTAGTTGCATCTCTCCAAGATGTAGTTTCTGTCCTCAAAGAGGGCTTATCCCAGACTCCATGCTAACCTCCCTGTCTGAAAATCTAGATGATTGGAAAGAGGGAAACTCTTGTACTTCGAAGTCATCTTCTACATCTTGACTCATAAATGTTGGGCAGTAATTGGGAAGGCTGACCTGCTCTCCTCTTCCAGTGGAACTTCTACATCCACCTGAGTGGAGATGATGGACCTTGGATTGACGTCAGAGCCAAAAGATGTATCATTATAGATTCACAGTCCTGTACAATTAATCAATGTAAGATGCCAACATTTATCTACTGGATAATTGTACACTAGCTGGGACTAAGCTAGTATTTATGCTACCATTATTATGGGACATGGGTGTCATTGGCAAGATCACCAGCATTTGTTACCCCTCCCTAATTGTCTTTGAATTGAGTGGCTTACTCAGACATTTCAAGGGAAGTTAAAAGTCAGCGGCATTGCTGTGAATCCACAATAACATATGCACCAGACCATGTAAGGATGGCAGATATCCTTCGCTAAAGAATGTTAGTGAACCAAATGGTTTTTACAACAATTGCTGTTAGTTCAGTGGTCGCTGTAAGCTTTTTATAGTCCAGATTTATTAATAGATTGGATTTAATTTCCACCAGCTGCTAAGGTGGGATTTGAACTCATTTCCCCAGAGCATTTATTTTATTTGTTTATAGCATATGAATGTCACTGGCTTGGCCTGGATTACTATTCCAGTGACATTAAAACTGTGCCACATGTTATGGACCAGACCAGACTCCCTCAAAATATTTTAAGAAGGTAGCGTAGACCCCAACTGTTTCTTATTTTAAAGGCAAATATAATGTGCTGTGTTCCAGTTACAAGTCGATTGGTCAAACTACTTGACATTAAGCATAATACAATTTAAACACCATAGTTAAAATACAACCAAAGAAACAGGAATTTAGAATAACTTAACTCTATTGGGAAACTTAACAGAATAATAGACAGAGTAACTATTACTAATTAACTGTTCCAATATAGTAACATCCCATAAACACACTCTTTGGCAAAAAGGCAAATTCAGAAAAATAGATTTGTCTCACAGGTAACCCAGTATCAGAGAGAAACTCCAGCTTCTACCTGTAACCGAGAAAGGGAAAAGATAACTTCTACTTCTTCAAAACCCCAGCAGCTTCTGCCCTATTGAGGCTCCAACAGTAACTTCTTAAAGCTAAAAAAACACTAAAAAACTAGAAATCCTGGTCTTTGAGAGATGGCCACACCCATCCAGGCTGCTTCTATTGTTTGAACTTAAAAAAAAACGACAAGGCCTCCCAAGCTGTTTACTTTATGGGTCTTCACTAGCTAGCTTTTCACCTCTGTCTTAAATCCTGTTTTTAAAAAAAGGACAAAATAACCTCTTAAAACCACAGCATCGTCACACACTGCCTTCCTATAATTGTTTGATGTTTGTAATCTCTGCCTTTACTTATAATAACCAGGATCCCTTATATATTATTAACTGCTTTGTTAACACCTTAAAAGATTTTTGAACAAACATCCTAATCCCAGGTGTCTGTGTTCATGTGCCCCTGTAAAATAGCAATCATTTAGCTTGCATTGTAACTTTTCATTCCTCAATGTTTCTGACATTCCAAGTTTTGCGTCATTTGCAAATTCCAAAACTGCAGTCTATACCCACAAAGTCCAAGTCATTAAGGATTATCAAAAATGGGAGTCGTTCTAGTACTGAACCCTGGAGAACTTCCATCCAAGTACAACCATTTACCACAATTCTGGGTGGGATGGGGAAGAGGAGTCTATTCCTTAACCTATGTTGCAGCAATTTTACCACTTTCCCTTTTTTCTCATTGCATTAGAGTATAGAAAACAGGAACAGGTGTCGGCTATTCAGTTTCTCAATCCTGTTCCACCATTCAGTAAGATCATGGTTATGGATGTAGCTTTAACTCCATTTTCTGCCTTTCCATCGAACCTTTGACTCCCTTACAGTTCAGAAATCTGCCAAGCTCAGCCTTAAATATAGTCAGAGATCCTGCATTCACAGCTGTCTTGAGTAGCAAATTCCAAAGCTTCATGACTCTTTGAAAAGAAGAAATTCCTCTTCATTGCTATCTTAAAAGGGCGTGGGGGGAGGGGACAGTTATTTTGAAACTGTGCCCTGTAGTTATGAATCTTCCCAACATCTATCCTGCCAAGGCCCGTCAGAATCTTATATGTTTCAATTACATCACTTTTCACTCTAAATTCCAATAAGAGTAGGCTTAGTTTGCTTAACCTTTCCTCATATTAACGAAAAACCTTAGGGCTTTGCATTAACCTCAGTTTCTACACTACAAAACTACATAAGAAAGGAGGAGGAGTAGGTTGGAAGAGGTGGTGGTGTAGCAGCACTGCCACTGGACTAGTAATCCAGAAGCCCAGGCTAATGCTCAGAGGCACAGGATCATGGGATGTGGACATTGCTGGCTAGGCCAGCATTTATTGCTCATTCTTAGTTGCCCAGAGGGTCACTTAAGAGTCAATCATGTTGCTTTGGTTCTGGAGTCAAATGTAACCCAGGATGGCCGTTGCCTTCCCTAAAAAGTATTAGATTTTTCCAACAATCAACAATGGTTAGATGTCAACATTGGATGAGCTCTTTGTTCCAGTTTTTTTTAATTAAATTCAAATTTCACTATCTACGATGGTGGGATTTGAGTCCATGTCCCCAGAGCATTAGCCTAGGGCTTTGGATTACTAGTCCAGTGACATTACCACTACACCCACCACCACCTCCCCAGAAGAGATTTTGACCAGGTGATCATGAAGAAATGACAGTATAGTTCCAAGTCGAGAGGATGTGTGGTCTGGAATAGAACCTACAGGTGGTAGTCTTCACAGGCATTTGCAGATCTTATCCCTCTATATTGGAAAGTTCATGGATTTAGAAGGTGTCCTTACAGGAGACTAGGTCAGTTGCTGCAGTGGATCTTATTTATGGTACACACTGCTGCCTCTGTGGTGAAAGGGAGTAAATGTTGAAGGTGTTTGATGGGGTGCCATTCAAGCATACTACTTTGTCTGGATGGCTTTGGACTTCTAGAGTGTTGTTCGAAACAGTGTGACTCTCCACAATGCAGTGTGATGGCCAATGAAGTCTCCTGGCTGCAACAAGACAGGTCTGAAGAAGCATCCGCACATGTACCAATGATAACAACACATTCTGTACGCTGTGGTGTCATCATCAACACGCACTCCACTGATGAGTGGGCCAGGGAGGGGCGGCAGAGCCTAGGATTCCAGCAGGAGTGGGATAAAGGCCAGGAGTGGAATTAGAAGGGTGAGCACACCCTGCAGCAGGGGGCAAGGGAGGCCTGCACTGGGTGCTAGCCTCCTTTTTTGCCAGGGAGTGACAAGAAGACTTGGGCGGATAATTGGGAGGCTACAGGAGGAGGTGTAGAGACAAGGAAGCCACTAGGAGAAAATAAAATGAACTCTTCTTATACAATTGTGTAGCTGCTACATTTTACACACTGGGAGTTGTTTCTTGTCACATTTCTTTCTGCTCTTTGTGTCACCTTGAGGCGATGTTTATAGTATTCTTAGCCTTTTAGAAATACACTCAATCAGACAAATGGAAAGTATTCTATCACACTTCTGACTGGTGCCTAGTAGATTTTGGACAGGCTTTGAGGTGTTAATAAGTAAGTTATTCACTACAAAATTGTCTTACTCTGATCTGCTGTTATCGTATTTATGACTGACCCAGTTAAGTTTCTGGTCAGTGATAATTCCCAGGTTCTTGAGGTTGGGAGATTCAACAATAATGCTGTTGAGTGTCCAGGAGAGATGATAATTGCCTGGCACTTGTATGGCACAAATATTACTTGCCACTTATCAGTTCAAGCTTCGATTTTGTCCAGATCTTGCTGAATGTGGACAGACACAGTTTTGGTATCTGAGGAGTCGTGAACTTCTGCCCTTATGGTGGAGGGATGGCCATTGATGAAGTGGCTGAAGATAGATGGGCCAAAATGAGCATTGTTAATGCTACTAATGATTGTGAGTGGATTGATGGGGTGTTAATTGGCAGAGTTGGCTTCATTCTGCTTTTTATGGACAGGAAAAAGTTGGGCAATTTTCCACATTGTAGGTTAAATGTGAGTATTTTAGCCGTATTGAAACAGCTTACTAGGGGTGTGGCAAGTTCTAGAGCACGTCTTCAGAAATGTTGTTGGGGTCTGGATGGCTTTGGACTTCTGGAGTGTTGTTTGAAACAGCATGACTCTCCATAATGCAGTGTGATGGCCAGTGAAGTCTCCCGGCTTCAGGAGAATATGTCTTTGACATATTCAATGCTTCCAATTGCTTTTGATATCACAAGAAGTAAATGATTCTGTATGATTTTAAATATCATTTTCAGTCATTTTATATTAGGCTCTTTCCAAAGTTTATATTTTGTGATAAGCACATTTTCAGCTTTCTTAACAAAGTTGCACTAGCTTTCATGGAATTGCAGGCCCTTCCTGATAATTAACCAGGTGCCAGTGTCCAGCAAGCCATCTTGCAGAGATAAAATGGTTTAGATGAGCAGCCTGCCTTGCCAACGCATGATCCAGGAATGCTGATCACCAAAGCACCCATGGTCCACAAGTCCCTGGTGGTCACAGAAGTTCTCAGCAATGATACCCCCAGAGACAGAGCGGCCAGGCTCTCATACAGATGGAAGGGGGCCATCAGCATTACACGTGATCTCTTCAACACACAAATATAATTAAGGAGCCATTTTGAATCCAAAATTTTAAATAAAGTGCATTCTACAGCACTGCCTGATTGTGTTGTTCTGTGGCAGATTTTACATTTGGTAATAAGAAAATAAGTTTGAACGTAAACTTGGCAGAAAAAGGCACTTCTCAAAACTGATGTGATTCATGGCTGCAGCTGAATTCTGGGCCTCAATTAGGTCAACTATTAAGATTGTAAGCCCGAAGGAACACAAGCCTAGTCCACGCGACATGTCTGTATAATTTAATTGTTTAAGTCCCTGTCTCATATTGGTGAGTCTCACAACATAAAACCATCCAGGGTCAACCCACCCGACCCAACACCAGGAATGTAGAACTTCCTCAGGGTTTCCTCCTAAGATTGGTATTTGTTGGGAATATGGGGATGATGTCTTATAAGCCATTTCCCTCCTTTGACCTCTTCTGCTCATTAATGTGGCTCTTACCTTTAAAGTGAACGTAACTGGCCAACACCAGGTTTGTGCTTGGGCTCAGGCCATTCACCAGGCGACTGACCCTGCCAGCAGTTGCATTGCGGATGAATGTGTTGATCATCTCTTCGGCCATGTGGGGCTGGCTGGTGTTGGCTGCTTTCAGTTGCACACTGGGGTAGAACCACCGGAGTTCCCACAGGAAGGCTTGACGGAGTTGCAGGCCCTTCCTGACAACAAACCAGGTGCCAGTTTCCAGCAAGCCTTCTTGCTGAGACAAGATGTCTTGGTTAACCAGCCTGCCTTGCCAACGCATGATCCAGGAATGCTGATCACCAATGCACTTGCGGTCCACGAGTCCCAGGTGGTCACGGAAGTTCTGAGCAGTGATCCCCCCAGCCCCCAGAGACAGAGCGGCCAGGCTCTCATACAGTTGGAAGGGGGCCATCAGCGTTACCCCTGACCCCTCCAGTGGACTCAGCTTGGCAAACCAGATTTTGCCCAGATTCTCCTGGAGGATGAGTAAGGGGAAACTTTTGCTAG